CACACATTGCCTTGAACTGTTTGCACAAGTGCATGTACCTGATAAACATTTTATCAGTTGTAAGCATACATTGTGTAGGATGGATCACTGCCAAGCTGTGTCCAACCATGGAGCTATGGGTCTAACAGTTACATGTACATGTACTAGTACATTGCTCAGCCCGTGGCTACGACTAATCTTCATGGCACGCTAATGGAGAAACAGAAGCCACAGCCACAAGATACCCAATACATGCGTGGCTTCAGTATCGGTTTCTTGATATGCAATTGTTGGTCTTTTGAATGGTTAGCAAGGAGCTGTCACACTGACTACAGTCTTGCCTCCTCCTCTGTAAGTTTGATTCGTAAGGATGGAATTGAGAGCCTGGTGTGCCCTTGCATGTACCGTACATGTAAATGCAACTACCAGTCTGAATCATTTGGCTATGGCTGGCAAGAATATCTACAAAGCCTATGGCAAATGGCTGCATCCATTGGCTTGTGGCTTCTATAGTACTGTAGCTTGTGTGCTTTCTAGCCATGAAAGCCAAGTCATTTGGGCAAGGCCTGTCTCATGTACTCGTACCTCATGTGCCTTCATGTACTACTCTCATATTACCTTAAAGGGGAGCATGGGTATCCCGGCCCAAGACTCCTACTAAACTCGTCCCCTTGAATTAGCAGGGAGATGAAAGAGCTTTGTATTCTTTGGAACTCCAACCAAATGCATCAAGCTTCCCCCTTGGATATGAGCCCTACCCCCAGTGCCTCCCCTCCCCCCTTGGGTCTCCCCCAGCCTAATTGGATTCAAGTTCAGGTTGCTGATCTTCCCTGGATAGGCGTGGAGGTTTCCTACATGTAAACATGTACCGTAATGACTTGTGAATGGTATGTGAGATCAGTATGTAAATCAACCCTTCATTCTCCTGCACTCTTGAGCTACAAAGCGCCCTCATTTGCATGTGCACAGAGAAATATGGTGACTGACGCTATCCCTTCTCCACAGCCGCAAGCATAGCAGATTCATCGAGCCCGCGAAGTGTGCATAACGAGGAATGAATGATGCTGTCCTTGAACCAAAATGAACAAGCCGGTTCTGAAGAAGCAGAGTCGACGTTAATTGAGAGACAGAAATGGATTGACTTTGGAATGGAAATTGCATTTCATTTCCAATTTGCCCCCCCCACCTCTTTTTTTCTTGCCGTTCCGCTGACAGTGCTCTAGCACAATCGTTGAATGGACATTGGCCAGTGGCTCAATCAATACAGAATCTTAAAACAAATTACCATCCTCGGGACCTCAGCTACCGGATTTAATTTTGGATAGAAGGTACAGGGGTTAATTGACAAGGGGTGTGGGGGAGGGACAGTTCCATGTTTGGAAAGACAGCAGTAGTTGCAGTAAACAAAATTGCTCGAGTGAAATTTGTCCTGTAATTAAATTGGGAATTATAAGAGTAGACTCGATTTTACATTTAGAAGGACTGCACTTTTTAAGCGTGCTTTTCAACCTTTCAACCTTGCTTTATTTAGGGAAAAGTGTCCTCGCCAATAAGCAAAATGTCAAGAGTGCGTTGCTCCGACAGGTGAACTTTCGATATTCAAAATGGAAAATAAGAAAAAAGGTGATGTGTGTTTATATTGTAGAATTACAGGGTAGTGTTTCTACTGTTGATGTTAACTAGTTGGATGAATTCACAAATAGTATGGTAATTTGATGCCCTATGGCAATTAACATGAGCGTGTGACTGTGTGGCTACCTGTTACCTCAAAATTCAAAGATATCTCCCCACCCAAGAAAAACCCAACAAACTTGAAAATGCTTTACAAAAATGCCAATTATCCAAAGACTCATCAACAACCTCTGGACACAAATGTGAAATCGGAGTTTGCCCTCTGATAAGGCTGGTTTTTATTTGAAAAGTTCCCCACAAAAACCTTTAACACCTCTCTGTTTCTTTGAATGTTCCTAGGCCTAAGTATTAAGCAGTATAGGCAGCCAAAGGTACAGATTCCAACTTGCATAGTTTGGGTCCGGTGCCTGACATCCAGGGTACTTACTCTGTACATATACTTGTAGGTACCAGGATCTTGTTTCTGGGAAGAATCCTATAGTGTTACCTTTCACCTGGACTGTGTTGTTGTGCGGGCAGTGCACATGAGTAAACAACCATCTGGTTGTGTTGTTTGATTCGTGTTTATGAATCAAATAGTTTATTTTTAAACATGCTCTTTTGTTTAATTTCCTGTGTTTATTTAAGGAGTTGAAATGAATATACATGGAGGTGTAAATATAGGGCCTGCATGCTCTCTGAGTGCACCGCAGTTGCAATTTTTTACATGTGTAAAATGTCAGGATTATTTTGTCATAATGACTTTGGGCATGATCCCTTGCCACCTTGGCGGTGTTGAATTCGTGCCCTCTAACTACCGGTAGCCACTTGGATGTTGCCAGTTTGGGACACCTTGCCACATAGCTCATGCTAGGTCCAGATACCAGGAGCTCTGTCCACAGAGAGATAGAGATGTTACAAAAAATTGGAGATCTCCAGTTCAGGTCCCACTGGAGCCATAAATTGGTAGCCAGTCCCAATTTGAAACATGTAGGTGTAATGCTCAAGCAACACCAAGTTCACATTTTCATTCCCACTTGGGACAGCTGATGTAATTGGGCACTGGACATTCACAGGTGGACTCTGAGGAAAGTGTATCAACTGCAGTTTTTTGTTTCTTGAATCAGCGGCGCTAATTGCTGTCTGCTAATTGACAATGCTGATGAAGGGGATAATTTTACCGGATGTTTTGCGCGAATTCTGTCCTGTCTTCAAGTAAGATTCCCCTGAAGCTTCCGGGGAATGGCAAACGATCCTAATGGATTTGGAAAGTTAGTGTCATCATGTGGTGTGCCTTGCACTCAATACAGTCACATGCACGAAAAACCTGTCTGGACATGTCTCACTGTTGTTGCAATATGGTACTGACGTACATGTGCGCTAATCACGTGCTTGGATCCTTTTTGCTGCATACACATACAATACATGTACACTGTACGTGTATAAATTATTACATCTTTTTTCCTTCTGCGTATCTACTTTTTGTTATTTTCTGTCCTAGTAATTTGTTTGACAGATGGTTCGATTGGATTTACTTGGGCAAAACATCAGAAATATAACAAGGCCGAGCCTGTCAGAGTCGTAAAGTTTTATTACAACTGTTTCCAAGTAATTTTCATACCAGTTTTCATTTTGTATAGTGCAAAAAAAAAAACCTGGTGGGCAGTTTATGTGTACACATGTGTAATTTATTTTGGACTCTCACACTCGTGATGAAAGCACACAGACTAAATCCTGGATTTCCACTTTATCCTCCCATTGCCATAAATATTCATGTAAAAAGCATTTTTCATCCATCATTGCTTAAAGGATAACCCTGAAAAGGATTACTTTAGATCTGTAACCCTGAAGCAGAAATGGACAAACAACTTTCCATTTCCGTAGAATTTGTTGCACGTACATGTAGATGTTTGCGTGTTCAGCATGATATGTGGAAATGTGACGATACCTTGTCTGCCCCATTTAATGGCAGGTGCTATTTCTCCAGAAAGATTGAGGATGCTGTTTGGGAAGGAGGAAAGAGAAAAATGGGCCATACATGTTTATGAGACAAAGCAAAAACTCATTCAGATTTTTAATATCAGATACGCAGGTGCAAACTGTCCCTTCCCAAGATGGCTTGACAAATAACCAGGCTCAGTAACTTGTCACATCCCTGCCATGTAGTCTCAGTACCCGAAGTACATGCATTAGCTGCACAGACGTCATCCTTGTCTCCTTCAAATCGTTCCTGACCTATTTTTCACATAACCTCTTCCCTGGACCCTGTGATCAATAGCTACCACCCCGGTTACGACTGGCGCCATCATCGCTGGGGCCTTTAGTTCAACCCTACTCGTCCCCTCGGACAAATTAGGCATAACTCACAATTCTTTCTGTTTTTTTCCTGGGGTCCAGGACCTTGCCAGCCAAGTCTCTTGTGGTTTTCAGAATTTTAAAGACATATCCAGTGTGTTTACAGTCCGTACGCTTGTAGGGAGCTTTGAATGCCCATTGAGCCTCCCTCGAGTATTAGATGCAACTTCACACATTGTACATGTACTTCTGCTCGGATTTGAACAAAGCAAATAGACGCAGTTTTATCCCCTAGGGCGGAGTAGTTGGCAGTAATCATTTGCATAGAAAAACACACGGTGATAACTTGGACCGTGTAGGAAAGCTTTTGAAAAAAAAAATTTAGCTGACAAAAATGGTGAGAATTTCAAATGACAAAAACTGGATGTGACATCAGAAAGTGGGACCAGGAGTCCCTCGGAGATTGATCTGCCGTATATGTAAAGAAAGCAAGATTCTCATGTATCGCACTTACTGTTTTCTCCGTGCACTAAGTTTTTGCCACAACTAAACCAAAATTCAGAATGATTCTAGGCAGCAGTGCAGCATGTTTCATAAGAGATGACTTGAAAAGAACAGAGGGATTTCAGAAGAAGGTCTAAATTTTGTTTTAAAAAGCCAACAAGGTATTTTTTGCTAAATGTAAGAATCGTTTTCAAATCAAAATGTGAACACAGGCTCAGGGCTTTGTTTGCCCGGAGGTTTCATTTTTCCCAGTGCTAGTAGCACATGGTCTTTAATTTTAAATTGTTTAGTATGAAAGCCTGTTATGTTGCTCAGTCCTGCGCTTCACGTCTACACTGCTGAGTCACAGATTGGCGTACTATACTCGGCCAGAATTTCCGCTAAATATAAAATGGTTGGCCCACATTGCAGCTACATGCATGTACTTAGACATTAAACCAATATTAAGTCAACTCAATTCAAGGTAATGCAATCAAGAGACAAGAAACACCTCCCCCCCTCCAAGAATGAGATGAAGCTCACTGTGCTTTATTAAGCGCATATTCTTTCGTTCAGACACGTTAAGTGACAGCTGCTTGTATTTTTCTTCGTCCTGTTTCCACCATCTGTAGATGATTTACTGCATTCAGAGGAGCATCTTCTGGGCGGGGAGGAAGCATCAAACCCTAGATGACAGTATCAGGCCGAAGGGATCGAGGACTGGCAGCTGGGAGCTACCCTTCAAAGACTGTCATCTGGTGAAAAGTCGACTCGTCCACGCTAAACGTCCGTTACTGTACTTTATTGTCTGCTCACAACCTGGAGTGTTGCTACAGTGCGGTGTGTGCGTCAGTTTCAATAATGTATGGATTATATTGTATCCGGCTTATTCTGGTAGTTGTACAAAGGTAAATTCATTGGGGATTAGGGTTGTTTTTTAATCCTTGGCTTTTTCCTTCACAACTTTTTGGTTGGATTAAAGAATGGTTTGTGTAGGGGAAAGAAAAGATCATCATCAGGAAAGTACACGTGTGGCAGGATGGAACAAACTTTGCTTTGGTGATGTATGAAAGTTAATTTCCAACAGATTTATGGCCAGGAATGGAAAACGTGCCAAGTTACTGTTGTAAAGTCTCGGTCTTCAAGTTGGCCTGCCCTGTTGTCAAAGTTTCAACTGGAGCTGGAGAAACCGATTTCGTCTAGTGAATGCTGGATGCTAGAGTGGCTCCTGTACCCTTGACCCTGGTGATGAATTATAGCCAGGGTTGACTTTCACCACAGAGCGTTGCTGGTGTGAAATTGGCCTTGAAAGCCAATAGCAGCCGAGGAAAAAAATAATCTGATTTGGGGCCAGAAATTTGACTTGTTCAGAGGGATAACCAGCCGTGCGTAGATGGGAGAGGGGGATATTCGTTGATGTAGTGTTATGTACGTATATGCTTTGATCGCATGGCATCTGTAGACCTTGACTTTGCTTCTAGGAGGTACAAGGCCATTCATTTTTTGAAAGGGCTTTTGGAGGGGAACAAATTGTTCATCTACGTGTACGTGGAAGGTCATGGCCTTGTGACCTATGACATGGTAAGGGGAACTAAGCCACACTCAGTGTTAGACTCCGTTTGGAGAAAAAAAAGGATGAATCCTGTAACTTTCCCCCCACCAATCCTATCGTTTCCAAACTGTCAAAAGGCCAGGTCCGTGCATAAGTGGAAATTGGTCATGCTGTTACTGACCTCGTTATTATTTGTAATTCATAAATGATTTTTAAAAAAATATTCTGTTTACAAATTGAACGACGAATTGACAGCATGAAGTATTTTCAGTCTTGCACGAAATTGCCCGAAAGTTTGTTTTGCTCCATCCATCGAAGTACCAGTGCTAATGTAAATAGAAATCCACTCATGCATTCCTACTGGTACCCTGTCCTACATTACAATGCAAATCCTCACCTGGCCTGGGTTAAGGTCACCTGACTAACGCAACCAATCAAATCATGAGATACTGAGTCATTCGCACCCATCCAATCAGAATGTCCAGAGACCCCCACACCAGACTGCACATGATGTACTGGTTAGGCTTGCAGAATCTGCCCTTGAGGGAGGATTTTGGCAAGTTTTGAAAACGGAAGATTCCAAACTTTCCAAGCACTCTTATCTTAAATGGGGCTGGATGCCTCCTTAGAGCACTCAGTCGGCTCTGCATCATTGTAACCTGTCAGCCCTTTCACATACAAGTCTTTGCAGCTCTCCCTTCTCGTCACTACATGAAATGCCACAATCATTTGAAAATTCCTACTGCTTCGTGACTCACACTGGTCTCAATAGCTGGATATCCAGCCACCTTCAAAGCTCTGCAGCCAGTACCCCGTTGCATAATAAAGGAGGTTGGCCGGAGAGCTGAAATTTGTACCCTCAAAAAGGCCGTTTGGGGGTTGAATGTTTCGGGCCCACGCTGTTGTGTGAATCGCGTCTTGCAATAGACTTTGGATTCAGAGTGTTCCTTTAAGCCTTGTAATCCCATCATCAGTCATACTCACTTAGGCAGGTCAAATTAAGGACTTTCTCCCCGGGGAGATTATCCTGGTCATCGTCTTGACCTTTTATGAACCTTATACACCAAGGCAATTGTGCACAGAATTTTGAAGAAGCTGTCGTTTTAGTTCTGAAATCCAAAGAACTTGCACGAAGTAGATGAAAAAAATATCTATTTTTTTCCATTCCTGTTCTAGTTCACACCATTGAAAGCACCGTCTTCTAAAACTGGAGCATTTTACCCCTTTTTCTAGGACATGACATTTTGCACCTCAATTTCCTCTATGACCATTTGTGCGACCTAGATCCCCAAGGCCTTTGTCATTTTTGGGGGGAAGAAACGGAGAAGGCAAGTATTTCAATCGATAGGCCAGGCCGGAGGGAACTCATGTCTGTTGCAAAATGAGAGTTTTTTTGCAGTCACGTTAAAGTAACCCTGGAGTGTTTTTCTCTGTGTTTGATTTTTGGAAGGGGAAAATGCAATATGCTGTATTTATGTTGCGTTGACATGCCTTGGGGTGACAACTTGTCTTTTGTCCTTCTTATCCGAAAAATGTGGAGGTATGTGGGAAACAATTTTTAGAAAAAGAGACTCATTTTTTTGGTTGGCTTTTGAATCTTCAGCCAAGTTAAAACCGTGTTTTGTACGTGCAAATTTCTGTTTGCATCAGTTCGAATTGGGGATCATTGTTTGTTTCCACAATGAGTCCATGACCCGCTGATTGTACCTTCAACAACACTTGTCCAACGCAGCTCCATGCCAACAAAGACAGAAACACTTCAAAATTGCAACCCCCCCCCACAAATGTAAGAGCCCTTGAATCCGACAATGTTTATAATTACCCAAACCATGCACTTAAAAAACACACATCCAAAAGAAAAAAAAGACGAGAGCTGCTTTTTTGTACGGCATGGATTGTGTACTTGTCAAAAAAAGTGATAAAGTGCTGATATAATTAACAATCATTTTGAGAGTGTCATTTTTGAACGCAGACCCCAAATGACCATGGGAAAGTAACTGTAGGGATGGTCGCACGGCCCACACATCCTCCACACCGTGTGATGGAATTTGATACAACACTCGCGCCCGTGTTTGGTAGAGTGTGCTCCCCGTCACAATTTTCCTCGCATTACACATGACCGCAAATCTAATGTGTATTTTTTGGAGGAACGCACCATTGCAGTCATGACTTGCTCTCACTTCTCACGGATTAATGGAAATAGATTTAGGCCTGCCCAGAGTTTGAAGGAAAAAAAAAAGATTGTTGTAACCTTTTTCTTTCAACTGTTATTATTGTGCGGTTAGTTTGGACCATTTGCTTTTATTGGAAGCCAGTGGCTTGTGACTCGGTCATTCATGAACGTTTTTTTTTAATCGAGGAAGGATGAAAGGTTGACAATAAGTACAGCTGATCAGCGAAAAAAAAATGAGGTGCCTGTGTGGATTTGGCAACGATGTAATTACTTTGAAACTTCCAACTGATTTTCTAAATCGGCTGAGAGGCGTTGTGTTCAGTGCAATTTTATTCAGCCAGTTATTTCACCAGCATTGTGTACTTTTGATGAAATTGTATTTGGAATTCTTCACAGTTCTAAAATATTTGGGCACTTTTTGCTTCGGAACAGTCTCAGTAAGAGGCAGTTGTTTTATTCTAATAATTAGAGAGGTGACGGACACACCACACGAATGTCGTATTGTGTCGTCCACACATTCTGTGCTCATGAGTTTTTGGAAACGTTTTGTTCCAACCAGATTCCGGGAAATTTCTCATCAAAGAAAAAATTCAGAAGTTCGGCCTCGGCTACCAAATTAGGGGACGTTTCCACTGCAGTTGCCTGTGTATAGGCTTTGGCAGGGACGCTACATTTGCGATGTTAAACATTCTTGTAAAAATAAATAAACAGATGACTGAACTTGTTAGTCGTATATCACTTTTATAGTAATTCCTTTCCACGTTCTGTACACGTGCATGACTGTTGCGTAGAGAGCCCGCGGCACATTCAGATCGCTTTTTAAGGGTGTGTATGTGCTTGATTTGTTTGGTTTCCTTTTTCTTTTTGAGTGTATTTTATTACTTGTAAATAGAGTTCTGGAAAGATCTGGGTTTTGTATAAAGTATTTAAGAAAAAGTTTATGACATTGGGTATATTGGATTTGAATTGTGTACTTTTGTCTGTAGATCGCACATCCGGATCGCCATGCCCTTCTGAAAGGATCGGGCGAATCGTCGGAATTTTTTCCCAGTAAACAAGAGCTTTGCAATCAAAATTTTCCACCGAGTATGGTTGTAAATGGCTCACATAACAACTTTGAGCTATCCTAGTCTTGTTCCAAGGAGGCACGACAATATTCCAGTAATTAGTACAGGTTATAGGCTCCAGCCTATACCCTTGCATCATTGATTCTTTGGTGTGGATGGAAAAAAGAAGCATCGAGAGTCAACATTGTATAATTGAGTTTAAAATTTCGTTGGTTTCCCTTTCAAAATAGCCGAAACCACCACAGATCTTGTATATTTGTGCATATTTAAATATGGATTTATTGTCTATCACTTGTGTAACATAGGCCTATACTTGGACTAAGTGTAAATGCACTGATACAAGGTTGTATTTATGTAAAAGGAACACAGAATTTAAAAAAGGTTTGTACACACGAAACTCTCTGGAGTTTTGAACTTGCTAATTATTCACATTTCTACCACAGCAGTCCTGCGTGCCTCGTTAGTGTACATGTACATGTATTTTCACTGTAAAACAATGTATGGATAATTGAGATGTGCTCTCATCACGTAGACTGGCACAGTCTACGTGCATTTTGTATAGCCGTGTTGAAAACGTGTTGAAGTGTTCCTCGCATGTACAGGTATGTTCGCGTTTCTCTGTTGACAGTTCAGCATTTGAAATCACAGGTAACTTTTATGAGCTACACTGCATTGCTGTGCAACTTCAATTGGACATTGCCTAAACCACTCTTAATTCACAGTATTCGGAGTTTGGGATAAAAATGGACGAGGGGGGGTGCTAAAAGGTTTGAGTTTCTTCCCAGAGTTTTAAAGATTTTTCTGAAACTCTTTTCAAAATGTAGGCATTTGTCAGGAGATAAGGGGTTTGGGAGGAGCTAAAAAGAGAACGGGGAGTTTAAAGATCCCCACTCAAGCCCCACCCCATTGAAGTAACCCTGATACAAACATGGTCACAGAGGGAACAAAAACATGAGCGGTGTTCAATCCAGTAGGACAAGTGTTCGTCCGTTACGAGACATTTCCACACCGACGCTCTTCCCCTCTTTTTTTTTTCAAGAAAGGTCTGAATTTTACCCCAGCCCGAAAGAAAAGGCGACAGTGACTTGTTTTTCTTTTTCTGGCAAGCATCGAGTATAGGCAATGTATCTGCCTCGTGTAAAAGGTTGTGACATTTGAAGTAATAGCACAGCGCATATATGTGTACCCGAGAATGGTATTTTTACAGTGTACTTTGGTTTCGTAGTTGGTGAGAATGTGAGAAGTGCATTGATCGGGGAGTGAAGATGTACGTAAATATGGGCGTTATTCTTGGTATCACTGTATTATAAAAAAATATTCACCTACTTGTGGTAATTTATGTATTTGACCACACACCATTTGTCACCTAGCGCTTTCAGAAAATTGCCAAATGTATTTTCCCACTTTCTGAAATCCATTTGTAAATTTCTTGTCCGGAGCAGGGTTCTGGGTTCAGAAGATGAAAAAAAATTGACGAATGAGGGTGCATTTTGTATTTCAACATTTCCATGGTTTTTAAAAACGGCAACTTCCGTCTGTTGCACGGGTATAAATCCGTTCTTGTTAATTAAACACAGTTTTTTTTAGACTGTGTTTGTTGAAAAAAACTGCATATGGAAACTTTTCCACAAAAGCTCAGTTGAAGATCATGGGGGAGATATTCGGAAACAAACATGCTGTCCTCACAACTTGGCACACAGTGGCCATTTTGCCACCGTGTGGGGCCCTGATGGTCTCGCTCAATGCTTTCTAATCCGCCACTTGAATCTCACTACTGTGGCCACCCCCCCCTGTTGGTAGCCCCCCTCGTGTTTTCGGTCAGCAAGGGGCACTGAACTTGGCCGCGCTTGCGAGGCTGTTTTCCCTTTTTGTTACTCTCTCATGCCTCAGGGCCCATTCCCCACTCGCCCTGTCCTCCTCTCGCTACTTACATCATTGTATAGAAGCCTCATCGTGTGAATTAATATTCGAAAGGAGTGCTCCCTTCTCCGCACTCGTCGCACTCTGTCAGCTCAGTGCGGAGAAATAGGCGCAACTGAGACACTTTCCTCGCCTGATTTGCCCGCGAGGGCTGTCTGGTTTGGTCTCGAGTGCGGCAGCGGAGCCTTATTGGGCTTCCATGAGGGTTTCTGTCCAAAACAGCTCGGCCTCCAAGAAGCCGCTGTAAACCCGTTAGACCTGGCAGCCTAGTTCGGATGAGGAGTTGGGAACGAGCAGGGGAGCACAACGTGCTGTAAGTTCGGTTCTCACCTCTTCCAAAACCTGTCCCGTATCACTTTTTTGCTAATTTGGCTGCATTTTCTGCAACGACCCAGGGGCAGTCATCTTGCGATGGAATTTTTCTGTTTGCCTCGAAGCTTCAACCTGAACTTCAGAAGCCGTTGGCATTTGATGCCATTAAAAAAAAGAAGAAAGAAAAGGAAATTTCGTCGTCAACAAGCATCACCTGCAAGGGTCTGGTTTCCATGATTCCCCATATCCAGTGGTAACTCTTGGTAAAGGGAAAGGGTAAAATGATACTCTCCCAAGATGCTCTCCTCCTTCTCGTCTGTCGTGGCGCGAAGGCAGCTCCGCGAATGCCCCGCTTCAAGCTGCCGCGTTGCGCCGGCGGCTGTCACATCTCAAGTAGTTCTCCAACATATCAACGTGCGCGTGTCAAAACAATGTTTCACTACTCTGCACCGTACAGAACAGTAACCAAAGGGTTTTCTGGTTTGTGTCGTAAATATGGGCTGTGTTGATATTCCACACGTAACTGCTAACCAAAGCTGTAATGTTTTTGTATTGTGGGAGTTATTTATTAAGACAAAATGTTGTCGGGTGGTGCTGGGTTGTACATGTCTCTCAGAGGTGAGGTCGTTCATGTTATCTTGTTTGCCAAATTTGTAAGTGTAATATTAAAATGGATTTGTTGATATTGGATTGTGTGGTCCAGTCAGGAGTTTTAAAGGGTTATTTTTCCTAGATAGAAGAATAACATTTGTGTAAATCAACGTTGTGAATAATGTGTAAAGTACGTACATAGCAAAATTTTTAAGCCTGTGATTAGTGAGGCACTATTTATGAGCATGTCTAGTGAAGTCACAATGCAGCTCGCAGCCATCTTGGTCTGAATTCTAGGACCCCTAAATGCATTTAGTACAAGTTGATCACTGAATCACAGGTGCCAGACTGTTTTCAGCTGGAGCCATGCTTTGAGCCTCAGGCTGAAGGCAGTAAGTAGCCGCTTCCATAGCGGCACACGTGTAGTTTCCAACCATAGCCAATTCTGACACGGCATTACAGACAGCTACATAGAAAAGAAAAAAGGCTGCATTGTGACGATGTACTATCCTGTATGTAACTATCTTCACCATGCCTGCTTTAAAGCAATTTGTGTGTGGAAGCATCATTAATATTTTTATTAATATCAAGTAATATATAGCTATAATATTTTACTATAACGTTACGACATATCAGTTTGATCTGTGAAACAATGAAACACTTTGCCTGAGCCTTTGTGTGCTATACGTTCAATGGTTATACCTTTTCCTGATAGTTCGTAAGATGTTTTACCAAAATGCAAAGTTATATACTGTGCGCTTCTAATACATCACGCCGATCTAATTGTTCAGATAAGAGTAATTTACGCCATAAGGCAACAGGGTTTACGCTAAAAGTCATTTGCGGTGGGGATTTTCAACTAAAGTCTGACTGGCGTCCACGTTCAGGGATATGCTGTTCCTGTTTGCGTCCTATGTTAGCACGCACAATTTCACAATTGATTCTTGTGCTCCAGAAATTGATCGTCCTTGCTCGTGTAATTACATTGTTTACTGTGAGTTGACGGCATTCAAGCTGTGTAGTACTGATAATCATGTTAGGTGGTATGGGCATGGGTAGCTGTTTCGACGCAGTCAGTAAAGAGGTTGCAAAACGACAGTCAGATCCCTGTGGATGTTAACAGCCTTGTGTTGACTGCCGAGCACCTTGTTTATTCTGTGGGCGTGCTTAACGGGCACGCTCTTGTACCCAGTAAGGATATTAAACTCTTGAATTTAACTCAGTATCAAAGTTGCGTAAGATGTCGCAGTAACATATCTTACACAAACACATCTACATCAGACAAGTTCTACTCGGTCTTGTTTTATGCATGTACACGTGAGTCTGATCTGTAAACATGAACAACCACAGTCGGGGGAGGGGGAATGTTGCGTGCCTTGTCTCCCCACCACAAATATACAGTTTGTCTGCGTACAGCACCCTGTTAATACCATCAGTGTTCCTTGGCCTGAAGAACAAGACCTTCTGTAGAAAAACGAGACGTTAAATGGTAGTGGAACTCACCAGGGTTGTATGAAGTGACTTCTGTATTCTCCCCCATGGTCTGGTTTGGTTAAATTCAACCCCCCTTGTCCCAATGGGAGACAGAACACTCGTTATATGAAAAAAAGTTGAACAGGCGAACGCAAAATTCAGTTTTATGAAATGCAAGAAGTTGTTGATGTAGGTTAGTACTGAAGCTTTTTCATTCAAATTTAACCCTTATACCTATTTTCAAGTAAACATGAAATTCTTCAGAATTGAACATTGTCAAGAATTTTACACTCTGTATTTTTCTCTGAATATGCGTACTCTTTTTACCATAATGGATTGTGTACATTTTCGTGACGTCAAGGGGATGTTAAGAAGAAATGTATCAATTTAATGTAATTGTAAGTGTGCATGCTTACCGTCATAACTCCTTAGTAAATTATGTCCTTTCGGTCATTTTGTATTCAAAGCCAATTCATTCCATAATTATTTTGTACTCTGAATTCAGCCGTTTCCCCGTTTTTCCCTTCCGCATTTTGTCAGGCCTGCAGGCCGCATATAGCTTATTTTTGTCACTGATAGTCGTTTTAATGACCAATAAATTCTCCACGGTATCAAAAACGTGAATGCCGCACCGGTGTTTTGCGATTAATCGTTTGTGCTGCTTTGTACCGTGGTCGGCATGGCGACCAGGAAAAGGAACGGTGTATTTTTAATATTAGAAGGGAGTACTTTGGACGTGGGTTGCCATTATTGTCTTGTTGCTATGGTGACTTTGCGGTTTGTGGCATTCATGAAGATGTGTGGACGAGGCCGTGCAATCGTCTGCAATTTTTTTTTTTAAGTCTTATGTTGTCGAGGACATGTCCATATTATACCCAGGAGGAACGGTGTATGTTATCAGCCTCGCTAATACAGTTCGATCTATCACAGGTCGTTATCATGTTGCATCTATCAGTCTTTCTCTTTGGACGCAATGCTTGAATTATCGAGCGTGGCCTGTTCAGGTTGGTTCTAGTGACGTATTGCCCAGCTCTGTCGATTAAAGTGCCTCGCAGACTTGGGGATCTCGATAAACATTGATACTCGGGCTCGACGCTGCCGCTAAAGTTTGGCTGCTTCATAGGTTTGACATTTCAGAATACACACGCATCTTGTCCATAATGTCTCGCTATCTAATTCCAGCTTGTTTATCATTTCTTTTTCGTTTTTTCTCATCGCATATGTTCTCTTTTGCAATCCCCAATCCACCTGCTGTCTTCTCCCTTGACCCTTCTATAATCCCCCAAGTCTATATCTCAATCCGACACCTGCAGGCATTTCCCTAAATCCTGTGTTTTTCCCTTGGTAGTGCAATTTGCTGTCTCAATTTCCATCCGTCAGTTAATATCGTTTCCCGATCGTTTGTCTTTCCATTTGTCTGCCTTGAGCACAAGCACCCCCTCATCAGTTTAAGACAGCCAGGTTGGCCGGGAGTGTTCATTTTGCTGGTGGCGACGCGTCGTGAACCAGCGAATAGCAGTTCTGACCAAAGGAGCCTCCGTTGCCAGGAAATTTGCGCCCCTCTCTTTGTCCGCTCCCTCTTGGGGCTCATAATCTCTTCCGTCTGCTCCCATCCATTCCTTCCGCCGAACAATTCGAAGTAGCTGTTCGGTGTTCACCTTTCCCGTCCGGTTCCCCCGACATGCATTTTTTCATTAACCCCCCGTCGCCAGCAATCCAGAGGCTTCGAGTCGTCGCTCGTTTGACCAGAAAGCTCGCATCGAGCAGAGGGAAGCGAGCGGTTTGAATGTTGCAAGGGGGTCAAAGGATTCATTTCAGAATGATTGTTACATGGTCGCATCTTAAATGCACGATCTCCAAGTCAAATGGTGGGCACTATCTCGGTCGCTTTTTTCTCCTTCACTTATAAACTTGTAAAAAGAATTTGTACGTGTATGCAAATAAATGTTAGATTTGGTTTGGGTTTTTTTTTTTAGAGCGACTGATCTGAATCGGGACGTGGCGTCGGCGTAGCCTCTTTGTACTTGGTTTAATGGTAAATCGACGTTTACAAGTACGAATCTTTTTATGAATGTCGAATCTCACGAGTCCACTTTGTGCTCTGTGGTATGGACCCTTGAATGGTGTCGTCGAGAACGCCAGTTGACCGCGTGGATATACGTGACTTGACGAGACATAGGACATCGGCCGTGTCTTCCAGAAACAATGTTCCATCAGGCATTCGACACAATCCCTGAGGATCCCGCGCTTTTGAACCTGTGGAGTGTTGCCCATTGTAAAAGAAACTCATAAAAGCTGTTTTATTAAAAAATACGGGTGAAGCAGAAATGTCACTGAAAACAGCCATGGGCAGTGTGTAACAAATAACTTTTTAGAGACCTTTTTTTTCTCTTCTGTATTCAGCCAAATTGACGCTATTTAATTTCCCTGAACGTTGTTGACCTTATTGTGCGCTACATTGTGTTGAAGGCTACGTGAGATTGACAGTTACCAGAAAATCCGGTTTCTTTGGCGTGCCTAGTAGCGCAATTTCTATCTTGGAAATATTGTTTTCGTCATGCATCGGGTGCACGGTTGTGATAAGTATGGCATTTGTATCCAGTTGGTCAGTTCATGCCAGGCAAGCTGTGATAATAGAATCCTCCCCAGGGAAAACAAACAGCCCTCTGCCATTTTCATTTCGCTGGTAATCACCTTGCTGCATCACTGCAGACGCTTCGTCGCCTGCAACGTCAAGCCACTGCCACCGAGCGTCATGTTTCTCAAGTGGCCTGTGCGCGTGTGTCCGCAAGTATCGTCAAAGTCCTCCGATTTCGTCTCCTTCTGATGCCGATGTACAGTCAGTTTGTGCGAAAGCAGTCAAGTGTTCTTCAGAACTAACTCGGAATGAACGCATGGAGCGGTTTGGGAACGGGTCAATATTGTCGTACTGATTTTATAAAATAACTATCAGAAGTTATGTGCCCCGTCGTGTTGTCATGTCCATGTGCACAAGCTTGACGGTATGCACATCCTCGTTTTGTCCGAACCCCACTCACTCCCCCTCGCCCCACCCCTCCGACAACCGCCCTCAGAACCACTTCCGAATGCAGAAAACGGCCTGAAGTAACGATGATGTGAGAGAGACAGATAATAGCTTTTTCTGTTCGTGTGGCCGGAGCTGCGTAACATGTTGACGTTGATGATTCCTTTACGGACGGCTGAAGATATTCCCTTTGACAGATTGTTGGATAAGACTGATATCACTATGATCCAAACCATCTCTGCCTGTCACTTCCCAACTGCAGATGGAAGGTGTCTTTGTACATCTCCAGAGCTGAGGTAGAAAAATAAATAACATGTTTATAACACCGCCGTCAGACTTATGGAACTGTCGGTCGCTTCTAAATAAACCATAAAGTTCAGAAGAGCAGCTTTGATAAATTGCGTCGTTGAGAGGGAAAGAATTTTACAATTACGGTGTACCTGCACACTCCTATATCAGCTGCGCATGGTGTTAGATGTATGATGTTATACGAATAGACTGTTATGTTTTGTTTGGGGCTTTTGCTAATTGGTTGGTAGGTACATGTATGTTGTGTTTGAACGATGGGTTAGTTGGTTGTGGTTGACTGTTCGTCGATTGGCTTTTTATAGCCCTTTCTTCAATGGTCTGTAGCTTTTCCTGCTTTGGCCTATTTCTGTGTGGATCTCGCGAGACGCCGTTGCATTACAAGTAATGAGGCAGCGACAAGCATCAAGTGGGCAAACTAGATCTCCTGAGATTGAATGGAATACGGAAGGGAGGGGGAGGTTGAAGATGAAAGACACGGGAGGATGCTGCCGGAGACAGGATGGATGCGAGCGAGTACGGGAAGTGAAAGAGAAAAACGAAGCACCGGGGTAACGAGACGTGTACGGGGAAACTGGAACAGCGGATGTTGATGCGACCTCGCACAGCCGGCCACATTCTCATCCGAGCCGCCTCCCTCCTTTCCTCCCTCGTGAGGTGGCCAGGGAGAACTAAACAGTGTTTATTAGTCCCACCTCCAAGACTCGGCCTTCTAATAATAGTCCGTATCGTGACTCATGCGTAACCAGCGTTCGTTTATCGACGCGCTGGGCCGAAGCGCCACCATCTGAAGTAATAACTTCCCGCTGCGGCGGCCTGCATGATTTGAATGGTCAAACAGATTCGGCCCGCGCGCGAGGAAAAAAATGGGGGAAAATCATTCAGGAAGAAGCGCTTACGACAAGATAGCGATATTGATTGTTTGGCTTCATCAAATAACTCAGCTTAAAAAATCAAGCAAATATCGGCGAGTGCTGACGACTTGATTGCATTATAGTACATTAATGATTTAAAAGTATTAACCATTAGACGTTGGCATGTCGAAGATTGAGTGAATCACGTAGACTGGTCCGCGTATCGTTCGATTGGACACATCAGTGACGCTAATGCGAGAGACGGCGAGAGAAGCTGTCGATACCGTCACTGGCTGTGTTTTTTTTTCGGTCTTAATTCATGCCACATGTCACTCCACGGACTATTTTCAAGTGCCGTTTCATTGTAGAGACAGCGAAATTCTTCCGTCGTACCGAGGGAAAAACTCGGGACCGAACAGCATTCAACAGATGATCAGTTGGCATTTTCAAATAACGCGGACCGGAAAAAAGTCACGCGCTCACCGACCACTTTTTTTCGGGTGAATAATGGTTAGTCACGGAAATTACAAATATTGGTTGTCCTCGTTTTCTAAATTTGACAATTTTGCGGTCAAAATGACCGCATTCGTCCTGATGTCACGCAACGTCTTCTGGGTCACAACGCTCGCCGCAGACCGGCCAAGTCGTGATAAATTCTCGTCCAGGTGCGCAGAAGGCGAGGTAGTACGACTTTCTCACCACAAAAAAAGAAAGTTGCATGACTTTTTTTAGCATTCCGGAGATTTATGGGTCTGTCAGCACCCGGAGGTTGTGAGTGATACTCCCCTTTTTTTCCCGGCAAGAGAAATATTAATGTACGTCCAATTCATCAGTCGAGAGACCCACTGTCTTTCGGAGGAGACTAATGGAAAATGGGTATAGTAGCGCTGAATGAAAGATAGCGATAGTGACTCATTTTGAAATCGAGATTTTAATCTGCCAGGGAAGCGAGACACAAAAAAGGAGATCGGTGATAAATTTTCTCTTTCGGTGTTGGCAAAGCGCCATATTTTACGGACTGTCCATTTTACGCCTGCACACTTTATTATGTCCTGTGTAACGCTGCTCGAATGGAATTGTGCATTCGATTTCCCGTTATACGAATGTATAGGCCTATGTGACAAATGCGCAGTTTTCCATTCTCAACCAAAGCGGAGCTTTTCTCGCGGCTATGGGGCTTCGCTTTTTTTCCTCGGCGATGCACAGGTGAAACCATTATTCGCCTCTTCTATCGTCGCAGGCGTCGCATTCCCAGGTCTCTGCACGAAGCCTTGATGCTGCAACGCCTGGGAAACTAGGAGTGGCGAGAGGAGCTCAACAGCCAGCAGTACATGTACTAGCCGTGAAAACAGGGGGTGGGGGGTAAGAAATGCGATGTAACCCCACCTGACATGGTCGACATCACGAGGGGTAGAGTTGACGGGGGCTGGTAATGCGGCTAGTATATTACAATGCATGAGGTTC